CCTTCCTATTCAATTGTTTTCTTCTATTTCTTTGCATTGCTCATTTAAGAAAACCTTCCTATCTCTCCTTGCTATTCTCTGGAATTCTGAATTCATTTGGGTATACCTTCCTTTCCATAGCTATTTGTAAGGCATCATCAGACAGCCATTTTGCTTTCTTCCCCTTCTTTTTCTTTGGAATACTTGCAATTGCTTCCTCCTGAACAATATTAAGAACCTCTGTCCATAGATCTTCAGGCACTCTATCTACTAGATCTCTAAAATTATGCATCACTTCCATTTCCCATTTATAAGCAATGTTATTTAGGTCATATCTGTTGGGTCTGATGGGTTTCCCCTATTTTCTTCAATTTGGGTCTAAATTTCACAATAAGAACCTCATGATCTGAGACTCAATCAGTTCCAGGTCTTGCTTTGACTAATTGTATAGAACTTTGACAACTCTGCCTTTTTTCCCTAGGTAATGTTTTAGGTTTTCATAGAATTGAGCAACTTTGGGCTCTTTGGAATCAGTGGCTGAAGACAGACTTGATGTTGAATGATGTGCCTTGGATTTGAAGAGTGCTTGACTATACATAGGAAAAGTCTTACTTGAGATCCATTCAATGTAGAGTATTAAAATCATAGCTGGACAAAGTGATGTGTTCTGTAAGATAGCTTGGAAAATATATTCAACTGAATTGATGTCATTTGATTGGCAGCAAGATTTTGTTTTAAATCTGTCTTGTCAAAAGATTTGTTTTAAATCTGTAATATTGCTTTTGTTATTATGCTTCAAAATTTTATTGTGATTTTGGGGAACTATTTGTTAAGAAATGTGGTTAATTTTAAAAATCATATCTAGAGGATGATGCATTTGTATACTTAAGAAATCAACTTCTCTTTTGATCTAGATGCTGTGAAATGATGAACTAAACTGTTAGAGAATGTGGGAGAATGTGGTTACCATGGTTAACGACTGCTAAGTATATCATTGGATATATTTGGCTTTAAAAAGAATAAAAATAATGACTTACCTTTTGGGAAAAGTAGAAAAGACTTATAAATTCTCCCAGTTCTTTGGGGACTAACCAAATGCTTTGGGACCTTCTCTTTGGGCAAGGTCGGAAAATCTTATTAGCCCTGGGAAAGAAGTTGCTTAAAGAAGAGGTTGTCCAATTCGAAAGTAATGAAGTGCTTTACTGAGTAATTAAGACCTCTAACAGCCAAAGTAGAGTTTGGGGAGGGGCAGCTTGCAAGTATGTTTATAATATCCAAGTTTTATGAGAATTTGTCTGGCCACTGATTATTGAAATGATGAAATTCCACCTAGAGTAATATGTATGACAGTTACAGCTTTGAACCAGCTCTGGCTCAGCAGCCTCCAGCTTTGATTCAAAATGGGATGCCTTCCTTGAGTAAAATTGATAGATTCAGTTGTTTGATACTTCTAATTTTTGAAATATTCTCCTTATGAAGAGCCCATCTGCACTTTTTTCTTATCCTAATAATAAGGATTTTGTTGTTCCAATAAGCTTCCTCTCATAGATTGTTGTTTGTCCTTCCTTTTCAAAGAGGACCAATGACCTCAGGATGGTGATGTCTTGACTTGCAAATGAATTGGACTTTAGCAAGGTAAGGTTGTGTAAAGTGACTCTCTCCTCCAGAGCTATCTGGGTCCAGTGACAGGATATAGATCAGGAAGACTAAAGATGGACCCAGATGCAGTGGGAGACCTTGGCCTTTATAAGCTAAGGTCTTTCCCAGGTTTCAGTTTGTTTGAGGCAGCATCCATTCAGTGATTAAGTGCTGCATGACCTGAGAGTGAATCCTATTAGCACAGTCACCATGGACAGTTCACAACCTTTGGTTGCAATCAAGTTTTGGTGTGCTCAGCAACACTTGGAAAAAGGATAGCAATGGATGCAAGTTAGACATTGTTTTGTTTGGTGAAGACATCTTTTCTAAAAGAGATGATTGCAGCATGATTCCAATCAGTTGAATTCAATTCAAAAGCATTCACTGAGCAGTTACTATGTATTAGGCACTAGGGGAGATGGACTGAGACTCCATTTTATCATATCAACCAAACTGGACTAACCTTGAGGAATTCCATCGTTGCTTGGCAATGGCTTGGGCAGATTCTGGGAGAGCATGTATTATGGAATGGCTTCAGACTCCCATTCTGGCCCCTGAAAGAACCTCCAAGTATCACAACCACTGATGGGCACAGATCCTTTATGGGAGAGTGTGCTGAAAAATCCTTCCAAATTCCTGTAACTTTTATCTCTGGACATGGCCCCTGATTTCCTGATTATTAGCTCTAGCTAGTTGGGAACACCCCTCCAAAGACAGCTTTAGTTTTATTAATTTTTTAGCTGTATTTCAAATATTTGGAAGGAAGGTAAATCTAGCTTGAGAATCTATGGACAAAATCTTCAGTCCAAGAATCCAGCCAGAGTGAGGAAGGATAGAACCAGCTTCAGAGAAGACAGATTAAAAACAAACTAATAAACATTCAGGTCCAGACTGCAGCTTCCTGAGTTTTCTGGCCACACTCAATCCTCCTCCAATGGGGGACTTGGAGGTTGGCTCTGGTCTGGCTCTGGTCACATGATATACCTGAAGCTCCTTGTTGGAGGTTGGAGGGAGCCATATTGTGGAGAATGTTAAATGCCAGGGTGAGGATTTTGTGTTTTATCATAGCGTTAACTGGAAGAGAGGTTTAATGGTCTGATCAAAGTGACAAGGCTACATAGTTAGTAGAACAGACACTTAGCAGCCACATCCCAGGGCTGACAGTATTTCCCCAAATATTCTTGGTGGGCTCGAGCCAGTCTTTCCCAGCTTGGGTCCTTCCTCATTTCTCTCTGTACTCATTCCCTCTCCCAACTTACATAGATACGTATATGGATGATGTATATGACATACAGATGATAGAGATATAATTATCAGTGGCATAAATATGTTATTTAGATTATGCAATATGGAATGATAGACAGAAAGGTGCTTGATTTTGATAGACTTGTTTGCATGATGTCTCCCCATTTGATGGTAAGCTCTTTGAGGGCTGGAACTTAGTTTTGCACATTTTTCTGTCTTCAGCACTTAGCAGAGTTCATAACACATAATAGGCACTCAATCAATGTTTATTGATTAATTGATTGACCCAGTAGTCAAGAAACCCATTATGGAGTCCAGTTTCAGATTCATGCTGGCCATGTAATACTGAATAAAGTGCTTAACTTCTCAGGGATGGAAGCACTTCCATACAAGTGTACCTTATAGA